CACTCACCCACACATATATATATATATATATGTATATATATATGTATGTATATATATATGTATGTATATATATATATATGACGATATATATGTATATATATATAAAGAGAAAGAGAGAGAGAGAGAAAGAGAGAGAGATATTTCCATCTATAGGATGAGCAACACACTGGCCAATAGGTAAGTCTTCGACCCTACGGCTGACCTTACGTTATTTCCATCAGTAGGATGAGCAAAACCGAATGTATCCCCCACTAGAACATGGAAATATACACTACCACACTTGTGTGTGTGTGTGTGTGTAACACACCGGCCAACACCGTGGCTGACCTCACGCTACTTCCATTGATAGGATGAGCAAAATCGCATGGATCTTCCGCTAAAAATATAAATATACGCTGCCTTATTGAGTTTGCCTGACACCTGTCGTGCAACACTTTCTGCAATCGACGGCCCGACACAAAACAAACCCGCAGCGAAAAAAAAAAATTGATCATAAAGCCGCGCCAACACCAACTGTACCAAAAGCCTCGACCCCGCAACCGTCGGGCAAAGAAACTTCCTGCGGCCAGTGAATTTCGTGGGACACCTCGTGTACCGTCCAAATGACGTGCGGGCCTCATTTTTGCTAGGCCCGGAGGGAGTGTCTTACAAGGACCGCTTTTCCCTTTAAGTATTAGTAGATTGATAGCAACAACGATGGGAGGAAGAAGTGGACTAGGATCAAGTATTGTTGGGGGGGAAGAGGGTTAGTTTCCCGTTTTCCTGCCCCCACACGAATTCTTGTTGTTGGCCATGCTGAAGCAGTGGGCCACCAGCAAGGCAATGATTGCGGCGGGCTCAACCGAGGGCGGGAGGAGGGGGGGAAATGGCATGAGTATTTGTGTGTGTGTGTGTGTGTGCCAGTGTGTGTGTGTGTGTGCCAGTGTGTGTGTGTGTGTGTGTGCTGTCTCTTATACACATCTAGATGTGTATAAGAGACAGGGGGAAGAGACTGGGAAAAAGAGAGAGACGATAG